GCTTCATTTTTTTTCTGATTTGCAATAAAATAAAAATTCAGAATCAACTGCAAAATGCTCATATTTTTGCCCTGAACAGTTAAAAACAGTTCTTTTCATCCTGGTTGTTAAAGTTATTCCATATTTCAATGCAATGGTATAATTAAAAGTTCAAAATTCATTGCTTAAATTTTGAACCAGCCTGGTATGTTGACTTCATGGCTCCTATCGTACCATTTTGGGCCATAATAGGATGCCTAGGCCTGTTTTTATTTTTATTATTTTTTCGCCCGCTCGCTCCATTTTTTTTTCTTGAAAAATCCGTTAACCAAGAAATTAAATTGGTGTGGCCTTATCTAATTAAAAAATATCAATAATGCAATATGTATTTCAACATAATGCTTGTCTAGAATAATTGAATCCCACTAGAAGAACCAACTTTTATCAGTCATGGTTTCCATACAAGAAGTGGCCCTGATAGTGTCCTGGCTAATCCTGAGCTAATCCCCCACCCTGTGATTAGAGTGGTGATTTCCTACTAAAATCCTTCTGGTCAATGTCATCTCTAATCCCATGGACAAAGGCAGTCCCTTCTACTCTGACCTGTTCATTTCCAGTTCCCAGGTTTACTGTGTAGGAGTCCTCTAGTAATGTTATACAAAATGTACAATGTGATTGTACATGATTGTACATGTATATTGTAGGGAGAGTCAGTACAAGTTCATGTACAACCCTAGCATCATTAATGTTATCCCTTTTTTATAAAGGGAAACATTTATAAATGAGACTGGTTGTATTTTATCAGAATCAATGGTTAAATTGAAGGTCTTTTTAACCTTAGCACACTGCTTGGCTATTACTTCTCTATTAATCATGAGGTTAGGCAGCAAGATTTGGAGAAAAAGTTAAAGCAAGGGTATTTCCATTTCATCCTGTATGGAGATGCCATAGGAATGACTCACTTCTTCAAGTTGAAAAGTGAGTTTCCAAATTGCAAGGGCACCTTACATGTACTTCAAGCTACAAAATGTATGCATATACATGTATTTGCCAATTTTTCCAAAGTAAGCGAGCTTTAGGTTGCTTCTAAAGGTGAAAGGCAAAAGAAAAGTAACATGGTTGAAAAGGGAGAAACCCAATAAGGTCAAGATGACTTCAACAACTCAAAGTTGCAAAATTGACACAAAGATATTGAGCCCTTGTTACATGTACAATGTATCTTTCCCAAGGCTGATTCCTTTCAAATAGAGATCAGAATCCCAGACATTGAATGGTATCTATCTAGTCTGGGTCATTTAAGACAGCTACTGTATTTAGGTTATTAAAATATCAACCATACTTAGTCCTATCAAGCTGTAGAATAGTTGAGTCAGTATCTATTCTGATAGTAAGATGTATACATATAGTACATTTAATACTATGGTGTTCTTTTCTTTAACATTGCACAAATTTGAGGCTTAAGAGTCAGGAAGTGATGTGATTTTTGACTTAGATGAAAACCATTTTAACAATGCTTGAATGTGTTACTCATTGCAAGTTCTTACATGATTTAAGCCATGGGTGGCAAGCCATTTATGACAAATCTCTCCAGCTTTGCTACAACAAGATGAAATATTCTATGCCCGTAAGACTTACTAAAGTACCAGATATAACTTTGAAAAACTTAATCTGACATTGCTATCTCTGGGTGTGGTGGGGAGGTGCATTATAAAAGGTGGCTTAATGCAAACTCGGATAAATAGAAAATGACGACACCACTGTATATACAAGGCTGTTTTCTATCCTTTCTCACTTTTCCGCACTGCAGTTGATCCTCTTTTGTTCATCGATTTATCAATTTCATTTTCCATCAGTTGCTACATATCACTATTTTTCCCAGAGTCTAGGAAACAGCCTAATAAAAGCATAAATCACATATGAGAAAATTGCCACCTTCACATATTACTTGTACATCAGGATAACTGCTAACACAACACACTGTCATTAAAGCTTTGGAGAACATGCAACAAAATTGTACTGTATAAAAGGATGGGTGAAAGAATCCATTGACGGCCTGTATCGCTTGCTTAGCCTGGAAGGATGAGAGGTCATTGCTAAACTCCCACCGCAGGTGTTTAGGCTTCGCCCTGCCCTTTAACTACACAGTACTGGTCTTACACCTCACAAAGGCAACAATTGTACTGAAGATCACGCCAGATCAATCCGACAAATCCTGGCTTACGATACAGGATGCCCCCGACAATACGGACATCCTGTTTCCTAATGCCTCTGAAGGAACCGATCTGTAATCCCAAAATGACAGCATGGACGACTAGGATGACACACCGACCGTCAGGAAGGCTGGACAAATCCTGATACAAAACCTATTTTGTGACCCTGTCTGCCACTGTAAGGACAGGATAAGGAGTAATATACCTTTCAAACTTCAGCCTGGTGTGCCAGTGAACATTTTTTGCAATGCTGTTATATATGCTGGATGCCCCCTACAATGCCATACAAAGTGACCTTTTCAAAGTTTACTGCAACCCATCTTATGGCTAGTACACTGTGTGCTGTAATGGCCAGCATGTGAGCGCTACCTTCACAAGTGGCCAGGCTTATGGCTTGCCTTCTAAAAAATAAACAGCTAGTGTTGATGGCAAGTTGGCAACCTTAAATATTGATGGGCAACCTAAGGAAAAAAGTATTTCAACCTGTTTCAGCCTCAGAACTTTTATCATGCTCTATGGCTCATACAGTTAAAGGAGTGATTGGCCTTAAAATCTTGAAGTCTTTGTCCACAAAAGAAAGTTATTTGTCCTGTCTCTGCAAAAAGGAAGTGAGATAACCCCTATAATTTATTTTCCATATGGACCAACATTGCCTTGGCTATAGAAAGGACTGAAACCATGAGTCATATCATATGTCACCTACTACTAATTACAATTTGACTGACATCAGGCTAGGAGAGAAAAACAGGAAAAGTCAATCATCATTCTTGGTTACCAAGTTGAAGGAGAGTCGAGTTAATAATAACCAGCTATAGGTATTCAGTCCTCTATGAACAGATGTTCATGCTTAGCTTCCAAATTGTTCAATACATGTACACTACAGTGGGACTGGAACTTTATACTGGCTAGACAGTGAAGCAAAACAATTCAATGAAAATTTTGTGTGGTTTCTGTGTCATTTCAACTTGATTTAAGTGTCATACAAATGGGAACTGTTGGACTGGGTGGTTAAGCTTCCTTAAAGGAAGTAAGATAAGTGCCAACAACACTGGAAAGCATTAATTTATGTGCCCCAGTGAAACAATGATCATACACCAGTATCTTACTAGAGTAACCTTTTCAGGAAATGAGTGTTATATGCACTACAACTTTTCTAGTGAATAAGATTACTCACAGGGTGTGAAAGATTAGCATGACTGCTTGTTGCGTGACAAGGAATCTGTATCATTTAAATGAAATGTCCACAGAAATGATGAAAAGATATTGCAAAATAATTGTTCACAAATGTACAAGGGAGATAGTTCAGTAAGATATCCAATAGCAGTGTGAACATTAACACACCACTATGTAAATGTACATGACAGTTCATGTTGTGGAGGCCATGTGCTGCTTCCATGTGCCTAGTAATGGCAAAATTTGTAGCTATTCTTATCCTCTTTGAGGCAAACTATTCACTCCCATCCTTAATCCCCTCTGATCAGTACTTAATCATCCGTGAAACTTAACATGTAGCTGGTCATTGGAGATGATGTGACATCCAGGCACAGGTCACGGTCATTCCTGGCAACAATTTATACCTCATAAAACTTCACTTGTCAAACATCAATCCATGTTGTAAGTAACAGTTGCAGAAGGATGGATCAGTAGCAAAGAAAGATGGTTTGAATTTCACGTATAGTTGTCACAACTTTTTTTCTTTTCTTTTGCCACAGCATGAAGTCTCAGGAGGCAAGTGGATGTGTATGGTGCCTGGGTGCCCCTGATCCCAGCATGCTTTGCAGAACAGTGCAATCTCTTCAATCTTCACTGTTACAGGGATTGTCATGTGACCACCATCAGCCAACCAACTTCTACAGCAATAACTTTGAGGGTATCAAGACTTTTCAGAAGCACCTGTGTAATAATGTATTACGTATCATTGGCAAGGTTGTACATGTATGGTTAATTATTTTTCGGAAGATTGATTGGAAGAAAATTCAAGATGTCAAACTTAGGAAAGAAACTAATAAATTTGAGTGAAAACATTTGTGAAAAAAAAATTGGTAATAGACAACCAGAATATGATGATGACAAATTACTCTGTCATATATATATTATTGAGTTAGAATGTTATCTAGCCCACACTTAAAATGGAACAGATATTGCCCTTGGCATTTCACACTTACATTAAGTAATAAGGTTTCTACAACAAGGTTTCGTCCCTGCTAGTGATTCAATATACATACATGTAGATACATGTGTACAGCTAATCTGGTGCCTTAACTGGTTGTGCCTCATACACTCTTGCAATGTCTTCAGACAAAGAAGAGATATATAGATGATATGTATATCCCCTTCTACTGTAACAAATCCTCTGTGCAAATCACACACAGCCTTTGAATCTTTGGACAGTACATGATTTTGATCACATCTTCTGAATGACCTGCACCACAAAACACATCAGCAGAGAGTACTGCGCCTGCGCGGAACTGGATTTCTCACGGTTTTGATTGGATGTTTGGTCAAACTTCTGATGCAATGTACATTGCATCAGAAGTTTGCAGATATATATAGAATGATGATGATATGACACAGCATTTGAAAACTATAGACAGGATGTCATCATTATATGCGTGAATACAACCTCTGCCAGTTTTGCGCAGTCACGGTACATTCTGCTGAAGTGCTGCACCACACAAGAGACAGTCCTGTTAACCTGTGACAACGACATTTCCAGAGACAACTGGCTTGCCTTCACAAATGTAAAAATAATACCACAAATTATTACAAAAAAATTTCTTCTTTACTTCTGAATATATCAAAAGGGTTTTTGGTGTTTGTTTTATCAATACTTGATCATTTTTTGTCGGGCTGAATTTTTCAGCCCACTACAATAGTATTGTACATAATAACTTTGTGTTTAAGAATAGAAAGAAAGTAAGAATACGTGTATGTTTTGTATGGATGTGTATTAAGGTTATGTCATATTGTAACTTAAGTATTCTACAATGTATGTTAAGCATTCTGTTGTTTGTGTTTATACAAAAGAATGTGTGGAAGTAACCTGAAGTACATGTATGTATACCGACCTATGAAAGAAACTTCACACCATGAAATGCTTTGGACACAACCAAATATACGTTGGACAGCTTAAAACAGTGAGCTTTCCAATTTCACTGTGCCACACTATCACGTTTGGTTACATTGACATGTCATGCAAGATATTTCATTTTGTTTGTTTGTTTGTGTGTGTATTTATTGTTTTTCATTGATTACTGACTGTGTATAAGTTTGTCATTTCTTTCAGTGTATCTTCTTTTTTTACCGACCATAACATGTAACAGGACTGGTTATAAATGTATCAGCAGTCACAATTCTTGAAACCAACGTCATACATGTACTTTTATCCCCAGGCTAACTCATAAATAAGTGAGGCCTAAATCTCTGCTTGGAGAGTAAGTTTGAATCAGTTTAGTCAAAATGACAGAAAAGAGATTTCAAAACAAATTCAACAGTCCCAGACAATCATTTTACTGAAAGATGGAATTTTCTTGTTCTTTTTTTACAGTGTCATGAGAATTTTAGACAAAAATTGAATTGTTTCCTGATGTAATTTCTGACATGATCTAAGTAGTATGTGTATGTGATGAAGTTTTGGGAGGGGAACATATGTTACAAACAAGTATCCATCTAAGATAAATGTACATGTACATGCACCAAGAAAAAATAAAGCACAATTTTGTGAACAGAGTTTTTGCAAGGAGGTTAAGATCTAGGATCCAATATGTGATTGGGAAGTGAAAAAATATCACTTTATTGTTTATCATCCATGTTTACTAATATGTCTACACTAATATGTTTAAGCATGTACAACATGTATCTGGATATTTTTGACTCAAGTGCTTAATATGTCCTTAAATACAAAGTGTGAAATCATGTGTAACATCGAGATTGATGACAATATACATTTTTCACTACTTTTAACCTGCTGGCAACTTCACAGCCAGCGAGTCCTATACAATGTTGTAGCATACATTTGTACATATTGACAGGTACATTGTACATGTTATCAGCAGCAAGGCTACTTACCATTTTTTCACGTCATATGTATGTTTCATCGGTTTGTTTGATATATTGCAATTTCATATTGTATTGTTTTTTTACACGTTCCACTAAGCAATGTACAGAAAGACAAGGCATTATCCAGACCATTCTGAAAATGTCTCTATCCAAGAGACAAAGGTTAGCTAGTCTATGGATTATGGGTTACTGGGTTTTAAAACTAAGAAAAGGATCAAAGTTAATACAAACTTATGGTTTCTCAATGCTGGCTACAGTTTGATCATTATAGTATTACACAATGCATTGTGTAACCAACATCTAACAATTTAGGTGTCTTCAACTTTTAATGTATTTAACACACTTGTATGGACCATTACACTATCACACATAGTGTACAGTAAATATTTGTATCCAAGTCAGTATTGTGGTCAGTGACAATAAAAATGGTGTTTTAGATTCTTACGTGAATAGCAGGTGTTTTACTCTTTAATACACATCTAGTTATTTTTACCATTACATATAACAAGCCTTTATACTCGGACAAAGACTCCAATCAGGATCTCTACTGTCACCAATTCAATCAGATAAGAGTCTTACCCCTGAAATATACATTGTACACACAATGTATAACCTGAGCGGAACAAAAGTATGGTAATATCAGTAAAATTAGTTAAATAAAAAAGCAGGCACACATCAAAATTATTCATCAGATTAGTTTCATGACTGTGTTATAATCACGTCAATATAGTTCCTGTTACAGTATTTAGTGCATATCTTATTTCATGTGAAAAAAATGTCTGAAATAATATTTCTTGAACCACACAACAAGGATGGAACAAGTTGAAGGAGAAACTTCATATTTCTGACATTGAATATGTTAAACATCAATTTTTCTGAATAACCTACTTAACATAAGTATAGAATGCAAACACAATAAACCAAAAGTATCACACAGAAGGACGGTATGGAAAAATGCAAATAAATGTTTAAATCTTTTGATAGTAATACCTGACATTGCTGACATAAATTTCTGACAAAAATTTGTGCACAATTATCATTCTTCAGAGTTATTTATATGCAATCTGACTCGTCTTAGTACCCATTTACGATTTCCACTTGTTTCTTTTATTAAAAAGGAACTTTATAAATATTGATGCACATTTCTTCAAGTAATATTAAATGTATCTTATTTGCATGTACATGTAATGTCATTATTTTCTCATATACAAACTTAAATTGGCACCTAGATAAAGAACAGAGATTTTTGTTTACCTACACCCCTTCCTCACTATAAGCTGTGACCAATGAGCGACCAAAAACTTGATACATCACTAAAGGAATGAATCAACAAATTTCTTAACGTTCTGTGTGTTGTAGTTTTTAGATACTACTTTTGCATCATGCATCATTTTGTAATTATTATATCATGTTCATTGTACAGTTGCTAGTGGAAATGGGACCCTGTGGTAAGTTTCTGTCAGTGCCCTTTTGCACAACATACATGTAGTGCCAACAGAACACCTGGCAACCACCAGACACAATTACATGTATGTACCTGATCTTTCCATGTGCCGAGGAGTCATTAGGCATCAGTCCTTATTGCAGTTTCAAGATCAGAATACCAGCTTCTTCTTAAGATCTGTAGAAAAAAACATAGAGGTTAAGTTTCTATTTCTACTAACATTTTGGGTAAAACAAATTTTAATGTAATTCTACACATGAAGTTTGCGTCTTTTTGTGTTGACCCTTCTTTTTTATTAAGTAAAAATAACGAATTTTCACATTGTAATACATTCATGATGATATTTGTGTGTGTGTGTGCAAGTGTTTTCCAACCTTTATCTAACCGAGGAAAATGTGCTCAGCCGAGGCTACTTAACAAGTTTCCATCTGCATCCAGTAGTAACATGTTGGTTTACAAAGTACGTTTGTATGGGTTTTTATAGGTACCTAAAACGAACATATCTCAACTACAGAACGTACATAGAGAGAACTAGAGTGTCCTATCTACGACAGAATAGGCAGTCCATGTACCTCCCCAGGGTTTGTTGGTAAACTGAAGATAAGTGACAAACATGTACAGGTGGGGGATAAGGTACATATTTGAGCTGCGGCTCCCAGATATCTGCTGGCCTTAGGCCACACCAATTTAATTTCTTGGTTAACGGATTCGCCGCTTCATTTTTTTCTGATTTGCAAATAAAAATAAAAATCCAGAATCAACTGCAAAATTTTCATATTATGCCCTGAACAGTTGAAAACAGTCCTTTTCATCCTAGTTGTTACAGTTATTCCACCTTTCAATGCAATGGTATCATTAAAAGTTCAAAATTCATTGTTTAAATTTTGAACCAGCCTGGTGTGTTGACTTCATGGCTCCTATCGTACCATTTTGGGCCATAATAGGATGCCTAGGCCTGTTTTTATTTTTATTTTTTTTTCGCCCGCCCGCTCCATTATTTTTCTAGAAAAATCCGTTAACCAAGAAATTAAATTGTTGTGGCCTTATGTAATAAATGTGGCCCTGATGAGACAAATAGCACAGCTAGGGGCCAGGAAGGTCACATACAGGTAACACTTCTCATAGCAAGAGAAACAGATTCAAAACAGTGTATACATGCACATGTATATTTGCTGACTTATCATTTTAATTGTTACACAATACATCTTCATGAAATGCAACTCAGTCTATAATCACAATTCATTACATGTAGATGTACACCTCAGTTTCATGTACATGTATCTGTATCTCCAACCAAATCTTTCGGTGGTAAAGTCTTAACCAACCAACGAGAGGCCATGTATCCATAAGGCACTATTCAATAGAGCAAGACAATACATGTAAACAATACCTAAGACACTATCCAAAAGGCAAAGTACTATCCAATACATTTGTAGGCAAGACAGTATCAAGTAGGCAAGACATGTACACTATCCAATACTAGGCCACTGTCGATTGGGCCGGCTGTCAATGGTGCACAGTAGAGGGTCACAATCTTCCCAATCAACCTCTGCTTGGAAAGTATCATTCTGTATCTTCTGTAATGGTAACCAACCATCCTCCATGTCTGTAAAAGCTTGCAAAAAAGATCAACTTTAGAAGTTCTGCAATTGTGTAGATTGCTCTATGTTGGTACAACTGTACTTTGTAAAACTTGACAGTAGTTTTTGTATTCTTCCAGATCCCCATGCAAGAGATGTTTGCATGCAAGAACTCTTGTCTGCCCAACAAAATAGCACAAGACAGTCCTTGAGAAGAGAGTATATTTGTCATCCCTAGGGGAGGCCATGTAAAGCCTCCCCAATGTCTCCCTGTTTGTTTGTTGCTGCTCCCTTTTCATAACATTTGCTTGTCTGTGGTTGTATATAAACACTGGTCGTCCTGGGAAGGGGCAAAACATACAGTGGCAGACTGGCCAGTAGATTAGCACAGGCACTAGTCTAATGGCTAGGATCGCACTTGATCCAAGATTGAGGGTTCGAATCTCGGTCAACCGGTTCTGAACCCTGATATGTAAAAGCAACTGGTAAGGTTTACAATGAAGATTTAAATTTTGCAGACCTACAAATACATGTATATGTGTATACATACATGTATAAAATAGACTACCGTAGATCTAGTTGATAGATTTGCAACAAGCAGGAACAAGAACTGTTGAAGAAGAACAAAAAAAGAAAGAGGGAAGGCAGACAGAAATGATGGTGAAATGTGTTAACATTTGTCTTTTCAACAAGACACATGTGTACAAGTCATCCTCAACTTCAGTGTAGCCCTGGTCAGATGACAGATAGCCTTGTGTCCAGTCTCCCCTGGTTTAGGCTCTCTTCGAGCCAGTAGTACATGACTGTGTAGTTCCCCACTTCCCAGCTCAACTAGGCCCACGGTAGGAGTTTTACATGATGGGAGTTGATAAGCAGGCCCGCTTTTGATAGGAATGGCACTCAGCCTCAGCTCACGAAAGCCAGGAGGGAACAGGCCTATAGATGTGTTCCCAGTCTATCACAGTACTTAACTCCCGTCAGGCAAAACTCTGACTGGTGAGCCTTAGTTGAGCTGGGCGGCGGGGAACTACTACAGACCTGAAGAGAGCCTACCTACACCATGGTAGACTGTATACCAGGGTAGATGACAGAGAATTCAGAGAATTTCTGATCCTGCCATTCTGTCCATCTGAAGTGACCAAAAGGTCATCAGATCTAGCCATATGGACACCTCGCCTGAAAGATAATATCACATCTGTCCCTTTGGATTTGTCACCTTAATCCCTTCTTAATCCCAGCAAGTTCAAATATACTTAATCCAATTCAACTGAGCAAATCACCAGATTTGTGTGACTATGGTGAGCATTTGAAGTTTAAGAAAAGCTGCATTACTTCTCCTTTGTGGTTAGTTGACCAACAGCAACTTGTTGATGATTCTGCCATACATTTGTACATGTACTTTGAGATGAAATTGTTAAGGGTTGACACAATTTTTGTACAGGACATACACTTGTGTACATGTAATATTAATGTCTTCGTTGAGGCTTCCATCTACAATGTAAAACTTAACTGAGCTTATGCCTTCCATTATCTCTGAGTAGACTTTAGGCCTGTTTTCAGACATTTTTTAAAGCTTTTTCAGACATTTTGTCAGGCTCTCTTATTCTATTTTTTTGGCTTTTCTTTTGGTTCGGCCAGAAAACTGAAACAAATGCCAACAAAAAAAAGTGCTTTTCCCAGTACATGCCAACAGATAAATTCTTGGCTATTCTTCAACTTTTTTTCTGAGCATTCCTTGAGAAAACTTCAGAGATGAAACACACATGTACCGCTACATGTATAACGACAGTCAATGAATGATAGACAAAATGTAGTTAGGTTTGTGGACCTTCGACCCAATCGTACATTAATACCCTTTGTTGAAAATAATGATGTCTGGATCTAACTTTCTTCAGACTTTGTTGTTCTGTAGTACCTCCAGGCAGCTTAGCCAGATGCTGCATTTAATCCCAGGGCATGTCATTAGGACATGTTTGCGTTGGATGCAATAATGGGACAGAGGAATGATTCTGGCCACACAGTCCTCATTACACATGTATATGCCATAGACAGAAAAATCAGTACATGTATAATTTTTATGCTTACATTGCATATCCCAAAATAGTATCCCAACAGAGCACAAAACAACAAAAAATGTCTTCCCTGTGAAATACAGAAATTTATGTATAACCCCAAACCCATATTATTTTTCTGATGTTACAAGCCTGATAACTTGGCTTTATACACATGCTGAAATTGTCAATGACTTCCCCTGAACTGTCCGAGGACTACTCCAGAGTTGTCATAGGATACCTGGCACTATCAGAATAAAGACCGTAAAAATCCTTTATACTGCCAAAAAGAGCTGTTGCTGCCATTGTAAGTCACAACATCTCCAGTCCTAACATAATGAAATCTGACATGTAAATTGGGCCTTAATCCCTGGGTCTATAGGGTTTTTGCCCCTTGTTGGCTCAATTACTATTAGGTAAGGATCATCAAAGCTGACGACTGCCACTACTGACCACTGTCAGTCCATATTTCAATCACAGAATATAATAAAAGAGAACTCAGAAATTCTGTGGATGTGGATTCTGAAATAATCACTGCATGTTCTTTGGATATAGGTCAATGCAACAAATAAAAATTCACATACACCTCTATGTATATATATATATATATA